GCGCGGGCGGCGCGAGGGGCGGTGTCACCGCAAACTGTGATGTCATTGTCACAGAAGGGGGCAGCACGCCTCGCTGCGTCAGCGCGGTGAGGGGACCAGCTGGGATGGTGCGGCCAAAGCAGCCCCCCGGCATCGGAAAAATGATGGACAAACAGTGCAGAGGGGAGCCAGTGCTGGAATGAGGGGCTGCCCCGCCTTCTCCGGCTGCCAGCCCCCACACCTGACCCGCGTGGCCGTGACAGAGTTGCCTCGAGGTACATGCTTTGCCTCGGTTGCTTCACCCCTTTCGAAGAGATACTGGCTCTTGGCGAGCGCCAGGGCTGCTTCCTGAGACCTTCCAGACGCTAGTTCTCCTGCAGATGATCCCGTCCTGTGCCAGGACCTGCAGCAGGGCTCAGACAATCCAGGGCGGGAGAAATAAGCAATTATGTCCTTCCTCAGGCTGACTAGCAAGGCTGAATTCTCTCAGCTTCCCCTTGTTAGAGCTGAAATCGCTCTCCCTGTGAACTTCAAGCACTGCTAATTGTAGAAGTGTCATTTTTATTTGCAGATAATCACACAGTAGGAGCAGAAGACCCAACTGACCCGCAAACAACACTGAAAGTAAGCTGGTTTCATTCTGATTGCAGGCGGGAGGAGGATGACAGGGCATAAAGAGTCTCAGCTACCAGAATTTCCGTATGGTCTATTTATTTAAGTATATGGATGTGCCCAGTGCCAAAACACCGCTGACAAACTGGCCTGCACCAGACTTCACCAGAGCAGCAAGAGCAGCTCAGGCTAGCTGCTGATTGCAGGTGCCTTATTGCAGGAGCTGCTCAGGTGAAGTGTTAATTCTCAGTATTCACAGACTTCTCTAATTTAAGGCTAGTCTCTTTTACATTGCTCAGCAAAGTGGTTAATATGAATATAAATACAGTGGTTGTTTGATTGTTTCAATACACTTCTAACCGTATGCAGGGCTAGGACCATACAATAGGAGCTGTCACTCTTTACTGTTGTTTTTCAGTAAGAAATCAGACTTGCTGTAGTATTCTGAAATTGAGAGCATTACTTGCAAACTACAATTTCTACTTGAATAATGACTAGCAAAGTATGTTTGGGTTTTCATTTTAATATCAGTATAGCTGCTTAACTCAAGTACATGAGGTACAGTACTTCTCTGCCTGCCTATTTTCTTCCTCTCACGTTTTGGGGAATTTTCTTCCAAAGCAGAACACATGGAAAGCTAGACCAATTTTGCTCTATGCACATGCTCATTCCTTTAGCTGAGATTTTCACTGAGCTTCTGAACTCCTGTGACCTAAGAATGATTCATTCAGGGAAAAATCCTTTGATCTATGTAAAGAATTTGCACTATTTATTTTAGAGCACTTCTAAGTCATTAAAGCTTAGCCAGTATTACTTCTGTTAATGCATAATACTAGGGTTTCCCTTTACTAATCCCAGAGACAGTCCAGCTTTCTCCTGTTATCCAACCAGTACATCACAGTCTAAACCAGAAAGATGATTTTTGGAGCTGGAGTATGAATTCTAACAGAAGCACCTTCGGTCTCACTGCAAAGACTAAAATCCGAAGTAATGCCAGATCTGACAGTGCTTTCTGTAACACGAGCAACTGTCTGTGAAGAACTATGCTGAAATCCTTCCAATATTGCAACTAAGTTTCTAAATGGCTATTGAATGGTAAAAGAAGCATTTGATGAACTCCTGTTGACTCAGGCTAGGTGAAAACAATCGTGGGACTGGAAAAGAAACATAATTTCAACTGAGAAAATATCCTAACTCATCTCAATATTTAAAACAAACAAAAAAAAAAACCAGCAAAAAAAACCCTGCCTACCAATTTTCTGATATTTATTTTATACATTTTAGATTCTTCAGCAACAGCTGGAATCATTTCAGACGCTTCGGAGAGTATTAGCACGGTAAAAGTAGAAAACAAATGCTCTTAAAATACAAAAGCCTCCTGCTGCATTTTCAGATACAGCCATAGGTGTTTTAAGTAATATCTATTCTTAGACTATTGTGTACATTAAGTACACATTTAATCATCTCTCCATCTTAAAATAGCTGATAAGATAATCTCACTTCCAGGTTCTTGCTCTTTCTTAGTCACAGTATTATTTGGGTGCTTATAAAAACTACTTCAAAACCTCAGAAAAACAGAGGAAAAACAAAACTGAGTTAGGAAAAAAAAAGGGAAGGACTAGATCCTTCTCTCACTTATATCACTGTAAACTCAAGGAAGCTCTGTTTTAAAAGAAGTTAATTCTACATTATGTTACTGTCAGCAGAACCTGTTCTATTGTTGCAAACCACCATGTTTCACAAAATGCTAAGCCACCTTTTCAGGAGCATTTTTCTGCCATCGTTTTATCTGGTTCTTTATGTAAAAGCTAAATATCTGATGCTGGAAGGACATTTAGCTTTACACTTTTTTGGTTATAAACAATTCCATATTCCTACATGCCCCTTCCATCTGGTCTGTCCTTCCTAAGAGAGAACTTCTTGAGTAATAGGGTATTTTTGGAAAATTAAATATTTCTACATTTAAGTTTTTTGTAAACAACCTCAATCTTTTTCAGGTACAGTCTAAAATCTATGAGATACTAAATAAAAATATATTTGAAAGGAAAACTCCACTACGTAGTTCAGACAAGATTCTGATGACTTGCACACCAAGTGATGCAACTCTGGTATGTTTAACAATTTTTACCTACAAACAAGTTATTCTTTAGCTGGACCTTGGGTTTTGAGAGTGATGTGCTTTTTGGGAAATAACCCAAGGAGTATTCTGGTTTTAAAAAAAAAAAACACAATGGTATTTTCTGCCTGAGATTTTTTGGGGTAGCAGAACTTTAGCCATAATTACATATACTATTCCCTCCCACCCATTATGATTAAAACTCAGTTTCTCTTCTGCACAGGTAAAACTGTAACCTGGTTTTCCCCAAATTAATTTGGATTATCTTCAGTGGGCATGGAATGCAATGCAAAGCATATAGGGAGACAGGGCAGAGAGTCAAGGAGAGAAGAGAGAGAAATGAGAAGAGGGAATAAATTTTGTCCCTCTCCTATGAAATGCTGCATAAACCTTACTTTTTCTGCCTATATTTCATGTGAACTCTAGTTTGCCCTTATTTCATAGGGATTGGAATGACAAAAACAATCAAAGACAAGCTATAGTCTCTCCTCTGCTGGAAATATACTTAATCAATTTAAGACACTTACTTGGTATTTTGTGCTTGCTCCAAAGCCCAGTACCGAATGAAATGGGGCCTACGATAATTGTTTACATTCTTTTAATGGGTAAATGGCATTGGCAGAGGTAAACTGTACACGTCTTGATTGATAAGTGGCTCTGACATAAGACAGTTTAGTTGTCTTATGCTTCCAGTACCAATGTTTCACAATTTTTATAGCATGACAGTTTTTTGTACATTTGTTTTTAATTTTGTGGGGTAGCTTATGGAAAACCGTGAATCGCTGCCTTCTAAGAGAAAAGTTCATCATGAACAACAACCCTGTTCAGATGACCACGTGGAAGCAAATTCCAACACAGGAAATGTTGTCAGTGATATAAGTATTCCACACAGGATTTCGCTTAAAACTATGGCAACTGAAAAGGTTGAAAATTCAGAAGATCTGTTCGGAAACAACAGGATACTTGTAACAAAAAATGAACATAAATGTGGACATTTGCTATCTAGCACTGATTTGCAGACAGAAAGGTTGAATGCTGCCCATGAGAAGGTAATTTTGACTAAATCTAAACATCATATACCTTTTCCCAAATTTGGGAAAGAATTTCATAAAATAGACACTACTAACTACCAAGACACTACCAAGTTGCTGAAACAAGAATTTCAGAAGTCAGTCCGTAATGATTTGGATTTGTTAGCAGATAATACAGAAAAATCTGGCTTTTTATACAGAGAAAAAATAAATAACTTACAAGAAAGTGCAGAAATTGTGACCTCTTTAGATGAATCACATATTGGTTTAGTTCCAGTTAAAGAAAATGGCCTCTATTTTGATCAAGAATTTTACAAAGACTCAGAATTTGCCAATGTATGGGGTGGGTCTCCTACGACAGTATACAGTGAAAAAGCAGAATCTCAAAACAAAAATGTACAAAAAGAATTTAGCATCAATTACAGTGAAGGTGACAGATTCCAGGTTAATTCTTTTTCCAAGATGGTGAAAGATAAGCTACTAATGCTTGATAACAAAGAGCAACTAAAAAAAGAAAAAGAACAACAACAGACTACTTTAAATCGAACATTACTGAGGCCAGGAAATCAGAAGTTCAGTGAAATCAAAGTAGCCTCTGAATATGATGGCAAAATTGAAGCATCGCAAAAGTCCCTGAAAAATTCTAAGCATTTGCAAAAAACAGTACATGATCTTCCGAATGAAAATTCAGCACTCAAGAACAAAGTGGAACTTCTTACTGTTACCATACAGTCTTCAAAAGAAAAAATATCAAAATGTAACATGCAAATTAAGGATTTAGCTGAAGAAAAGAAAAGTGTGCAAATCCAGTTGGTTAAATCACAAGAAGATAACAAGGAATGTATTAAGGAACCAAAGAACTTCTTAAGAAAATGTAAAGAACTCCAAAACCAGAAAAACATCCCTGAGGAAGAAAGGAAGCAACTCCATAATAGAAACCAACATTCAATACAGACACAGTATTATTTTCAAATTAGGAACCAGAAAGCAGAAGAAAAGATGACTGCTGTTACCTGTGAAAGAGAGAGGCTCAGTGCAGTCCTAAAGTTCTTGCAAAAGGAATGCTTCAAGTTACAAGAAACAAATAAAAAACTTAAGATAGAAATATCCCAGCTCACAAAAGAAAATAGTTCCCTAGAGCAAGAGCTTGAAAGAAATCAGAGTGAAATGCAACAAATAAAAGAAAAAGAAACCGCGACGAAATCTGAACTGGAAACTCATCTTCAGTTAATGCAAACACTGGAAGCCAAAAAAACTAACCTTGAAATAACTCTGCAGGAATGTTCTGATACTAAACAGATGCTGCAGAAGGACTTTGAGAAACTCGAATCAGATAAAGCTTATACAGAAAAGAAACTCATGATGGAACTCCGAAATGCAAAAGCAGATATTGATCTTTTAAAGTCTAACTTGACCAGTGCAAACAGAGAATGCAAGAAGTTATCAACTGCAGTAACAAACGTCACAGAGGAAAATCAGTTACTTAAGAAAGAACTGCAGGAATATAGACAATTCACTTCCAAATATGAAAGTGACATTAGAAAATTGACCGAAGAACGCTTACTATTAGAAAATGTCCTGTGGACTACTGAAAATGAGAGAGATGTATTACAGTTGCAGTTCTCCCATTTGCATGAGGATTATATTTATCTTCGACACCAAGCTACAGCTCTAGTCTGTGGGCAAAGGAAACCTGGTTAACAGGTCTCATGATACTCATACTATGCAATATAACTGATACTCCGAATATTCCACTAGAATTTGTACAGAAATTTCTGTTCTAAGTACAAAGCCTTGGAATATGATTCACAAGGTATGAGCTTTATTCTGCAATATCTTATTAGCTGATTTTCTTTTCCAAGCAATTCCTGATAATCTACAACAGTCTATTGCTTCAAATAAATTGTAATAAACTATTTTCTTTTGTAAAACATATACAATTCTGATGTCCAGTTATTTCCATGGTTTTGTTATGTTCTGAAAAGAGCTGCCTGGCTTTTTGATACTTGGCTGAATTTCACAGATTCACAAAAACAGATCCTTACACAACGTAAGTAGTATAAAGAAACTTAATGAAACTGTGACAGTTTACAGGAGATAGATTTCTGTCCCTAGGATTTCAGAGTCAGAAGGGAATCTTAACAACCTTTTAGCTGAACAGCTTAGTACATGCCACAACATTTCACTGTTGAAAGTGAAATGCTGAAAGTCCTAAATTAAGTTTAATCTATGTTTACTTATGTTTTAGATTACATCTAATTCTGGTCTATGTTTAATCAACACAAGGTACCCTTTATCTCTTTATACTAGATACTGACTTAGAAAGCTTATTAGTTAAAACATGAGTTTTAACATTTTCGGTGTAAACATATTCGGAGAACATGGTCATAGCTATGAAAGGTGCAAAAATTATCCTCTGAGATATAATCACTGCACAAATACTCTGATTTTCTCAGCCAAGGGACCATGGTGAGGAAGAATTTCTCAAAAATACTGCATATAATATTCTGTGCAGTTGAAGCTGCCTGTATGCAGTGTCTCCACAACACTATTAGGACTATTTTTTTTTTTAACTTCTTTTTTTACTCACTCCTTAATAAATAAATCCATGAAAGTAAAAACATGTAATTAGTTAATGGTGTTTCCAGAACAGACTTAGAGGTAATTAGTCTTCCCTTTCCTATTAGTACAACACTAGGTGTACAAGCTCCTGGCCAATAAAGGGCATGATCTCTTCAGAGACATAGAAGTAATCCACTTCCTCCTATTTCTCCGATAATTCATGAAGACTGATTGCAGCAAATTAACAATTATTTATCTGGTTTGTAATACAAGACTATAAATGTAATAGAGCGTGTTTTTGTTTCATGACTGATACATAGAGTAGAATTACTAAAAACTACGTTAAAGATCTAAGTCTAGTTCTTAATGCTTTTTCCTGTAAAAAATGTTTAAAAGATACAAAAGGGTTTGTTGTGGTTTTTTACTGGAGATAGGCAAAAGTATTATGCCACAATTTTGCATTGCACACCCGAAGTCAATATGGACATTAAAGTGGTAAAGAGTTGGGCTATTGAGTAGATGGTCAGGTGTTTAATGGCATTTAATGCTTGCATAAACATGAAGTTGCTTCAGACTGTAACTATTAAATTGTGGTCAGAATCAGTTATAAAGGTGACTGGCTATATCTATACTGTAAGGATATAGGGAAACGGTTATTATGAAAACAATGTAAGTAATGTCTAATGTCCTTCTTACCTTAGATAACTGGGTAACGAAATTTGAGAAAGTTCTAAATTCCACCATCACAGTCAAAGGTACTGCCAAGAAGCCAAGAGACACAATTATCATTTGTATTAAAACACCATACTGAGGCCCGAGCTAGAATTGGGTGTCAGCTCCTTGGGACCACACATTTCCTGGTGGAGACTTATCAGGTGAAGTTATTGGCTCCCATGATGCCCACACAAGGCTAGTCCACATACACTAACATATTCTCAAACAAGCTGGATTGATTTTTTTTTTTTAAATTAAGCTCCATACATTTTAATCAGCTTTCAGTACTTCCATCTTGTTAGTGAATGAAAAGATTATTGAAATACAGAAGAAAATAGAAGAGGAAGAATTGCAAAAAGATAAAAGACAGAAGGACATAAAGCAAAACTTCAGAGCAGTCTTCATCAGCTGTACTTCATCAGAACAGCAGTTAGGAGGAAGTACAGTACAGTTCAATCTACCTACGAATGCTGTGTCTGCAGACTTCACAAGTGAACAACATGGCAAATGCTTCATAGATACTCCGTACAAAGATGACACTAAGGTACCTGAGGTCAGCATCAGTACCATTATCTAATACGAGGTCTCAACAAAGAAAGAAGGAGTTCTGTTATAGGTCTTTGGATAGACAAAACATCAAAATTCTTGTATAAATTAATATTTCAAAATATTGTTGGGTCCTGTTGATCTCAAGATAAGGGTTTTTATGGTTCAACACATGCTGGAAGACCTGATCAACAATTCTTGGTTTTATTTTTATTTTCATTGATGTGAGGAAATGTGAGATCCAGTCTGGAATTTCTTTAAAAAATATTATCCTGTGAACAACAGTAAGGATACAATTCCATTAATATTCTACAGTGGTAGGATAATCTTTAATAAAAATGAATAAAGAAATTTTGTCTTCATGTAATAATTTGGATAAATAAATGCTAAGAATTTTTTTTTTTAATAATAAATTAGTTTTGATTTACACGAACAAATTTCTTGGACTACATATAAAAACCTGACAAAAATTATTAAGATGGAGATAAGATGTACATTTAGGGACACAGTTCCATCTGAGAAGAAGCTAGCTTGAAAGTCAGATCAGATTTGTTAGGAACCTTCCATGTACACAAAGCGAAATTAAGCTGCTCTTGGAGAATATGGCAGCACTTACGGTTATCACGAAATTGAGGAAGAG